GGACTTAATGCAAAACGGTTAAATGAAAAATAAGACTTAATTCAGTTAATATAAAAAGCTTACTAGAATACAATCTTTGATTGCGTTCTCCTCCCCTTTTAGTTCTGAATGTTAGTAAGTCAACCTTTGCAGAATGTTGTGATAATATTAGTAAAACAATTTTGTATAGTATTCTACCTAATAGCAACTAAGTAGCTTCATCCAAGGTCTAGAGGCTCTATGTAGTCTTCGATATCTTATCGGAATTTGTTTGATTGGCCAGAAGGCTATGAATAAGATGATTGGACAGGACTTGGTTACTAGACCAGATGACGTTCGCAACCTTTTGCAGAATCCTCTCAAAGACTCATATAGTCCTTAAAGGAGAATGTCAACTTGTTTTTGTTTAACTCGTACTTGACAAACTATCTATCATGATACTGTGACTCTAATTTACTAGTCGCTAAACGTGGTATTGTAGTGCTGTGCTAATAGCTTTTTACAGGATCTTTTAGACCCGCTTATTTGGTTTATTGTGCGCAAATGCCTGCCTCACTTTTATGTGTGTGTGTTTGATCCATTCTGTTCTCCTTAGTCAACCAGAGCTCTTACCCACATGTGGCTCGAGATTCTCACTTTTTCTCAGATCCTCCTAGTATCTGCTGGGATGGTAGGAAATTTTCTCGTTATCCTCACCCTTCTTCGTCGGCGCTATCAGTCCGTATTCTCTACAATCTTTTTCATCCACCAAACGATGATCGACTTCGTTGTATGCCTCCTCTGTATCACAGTAGTGCCGAGGCGCAAAGATGCTCTCTTAAGCCGATCGGGAAACCTTGACAACTATCGCATAGCCGCAACTTCCTCCACCAACGTCACAGTCGCAAGCACAAAGGAAAGGATTCAACTGTCTAATAATACCACTAACCTGGCTAGCATACCACGTTCTGGCAACTATTCTGTCGGATTGCTGAGTTTGGCCCATGGGTCGGCAGATCAGAAAGTGAACCTAAGCCTTGATACAGATAGAAAATTTGATTGGTACACTGTAGAAGCAAGCTCTATAACACAAGTAATAGGAGCTAGTGGTTACTGGAGCAATCTTGCCGAAGTACTTCGTTGTCAC